ATTTAATAAAACAGTAGAGTATTAATTAAACAGTATTAATCCAACGCTATACAACATACCCTGTTGCATAGGCCCAACCATTCTGAACAACCAATCCCGGCTGCACAGTTCTATCTCCAAACCAGGAATATACCATTCCAAACCAGGAGCTAACAGGTTACTAACAACATCATTTAATATGGTGAGAACTGTGAAACTAATCACGAAAGATATTGTTAGACCCGCCCATAACCGCTGGCACGGCTATTCGAATAGTTTAACTCTGGCCAGAGGTGTACCACTGTACACACAAGACACAACCTCAACATCATGTCAACCATGCGTCGCGATAGTTAACAAGTACCCGAATAGAGATTGTGACAATACCCTCTGCATAACATAATTCAAAGCAATGCACCGTTCCCGGATCATAATCACCCCCTTGTAAACAACGCATGGACTCCCCAGCGACCCCCGTGGGCTTATCTCCGCCACTTCATAGTCTGGTGCTCTACAATGAACCATACTATACGGAAAGTAAAGTCGTTGCCCACGCTGGCTTGTGGTTGGCACGGTTAATGTTTCACAACTGAAAATCGTGAACCGGTCCTTAATTGTCATGAGCACGACCATCAAAACCATGTGCTCACAACCCACCATTATCAGGTTTTAGTTGGCAATTTAATTAATTAACCAATCACGATTGACCATCATGAGCTATCATTAAGCCATCATTAAATAATAGTGAATCATAAGTTATCCCATTTATATGAGCTAGTGCCTCTAAGCATGGCTAAGCATCCTATTCACTTTAACTAAAACCATATAATGTTCTAGCTAATCAAATTATTAACCAAGTGACAAAGAATAGGGAATCAATAGCAAAAGGGCTATAACAAGGCAATAGGTTATTTCCACCCAATGACATTCAAAAATAAATGCAATAGTTGAATAGAAACAATAGCTTTAAACGGGATCAACATGCTCAAAGGGTTGTTTTGGGATCTGTGCGACTTGCCTTGCTGGCCTTGGAACTCTTCAAAATCTTCTCCTGCGAAATCGGACTCTCCGGGAACGTCAGAATCTAAGGAAAAAAGAGCAAAAACACCAAAACAGCACATAAACAAGCATGAACAGTACATATGTATATTTTTAACATGTAGATCTCAATTTTAGAAAAATTTAGAGACTTGAACCAACTAAATCCAAGCTAAGATGAATTAGTTATGAATTTTCAAAGATTAAATCGGATGAAATCATTTATATAGATTTTAATTGAATTATGACGCAATAATGAATTATTTTTGAAAAGGAAAAGAGGATTATTGCGTCAGCGGGCTCGGGTTCACGGTGGACCGGGTGCACAGCGGCGGTCTACGGAACGGACGGCCGAGATCTACTCGATCCAAAACGAACGGCCGAGGTCGACTTGATCTACCGCCGGTCTATGGGAAACGGCGACGATGACGTCAGCGGTGATGTCACCACCGGCGGCGGCTTGGGCACGCATGCTCGCCGGTTGCTTTTGTTAAGGACTGGTTGCTCGCAACCGAGGAGGTCGTGGAGCACGAGGGAGAGCCACACACAGAGGAGGCGTACGAGGCCTACCTACGCTGGTACCAGCCACGCACCCGTACTAGAGTCACCTTCGCTCCCTTTGAGCAACAGGCCCACGTTGCGAGCACTAGAGACCTCTACGCCAGGCACCGCGACCAGGACTTCGCTCGTGCTGTGAGTACCCTGCATCGCACCATTCCTTTATCTTTTATTCCTTTCTCTTCGTCAAATGTTACGAATATTTACGAATAAATTAACCATGCAGGTCGTCAACATCAATAGGGTCGTCGTTGACGGTTCAACGACGATCCAACGTTTAGTTGCAGGGATTCCGGTACCCGTAGAGGAGCACCTTACGACGTACACACGGATGGTGGAGTCGATGCGCTCGATTCTCCGAGTGCTCACCTGTCATGTAGACGACGTTGCTCGGGCAGACGCAGCACCACAGCGGCCACCCCTACCGACTTGTTCCCGTCCAGCTACGCACGTTCCAAGGCCGACTCCCCCTCCGCACAGAGGTAAGTATTTTTAAGGATTTTTTTTACATGCCTCGCACATCTATGTGAGCCGATTGATCCGATTGCTTCAGGGTTTCGTGCACCGTTCAGCACCCCGCCTTCCTCGGCTAGGCCATCTGTTGTGCCCCCCACAGGTACTTCAAAAAACAACAGTACTTCGACAATCAATTTACATGCATTTTATGTCTTAGCTTACAAGGGTTACATTGTCGATGTCTAGGTTTCGTCCAGTTCGCTACGACGTAGGCTGCCCACTTCTCCCAGGCTGCAGGGTCAGCGTCTCAGGCAGCTGCGTCGACCTCGCACTCAGCGCAGTTCTGGCAGTACATCGGGACTTCATCACAGGCAGCCGGCACGTCGAGTCAGGGTCCACCACTGGACCATGCTGGGACCTCGTCGGACTACGGGGTGGCTTCCACCTTGCTCTTCGACATCACCGATTTCGACTTCGCTTCAGGCTCGACAAAGGACGTCATCGGCCCCTCACAGCTGGGAGGCGCACCGCCTGTGCAGACGCAGGACCAGTCGCTGTCCACTCCGTCGCCAAACACTCGTGCTACCCGTGCTGTGCCACTGGATCGTTTTACGTACTCCTAGGACCACGTGCAAGCACAGGCCCGAAGGACCAAGCGTGGTCGCGGCGCGGGGCAGGGCCAGTAGAACAGACTTCTCTTTGTTTATTTACTTCACATGCTAGTACTGTATGCTTGTGTAATGAATACGTTGTTGTTATTCGGGTTCTCATCCCTGAACTTTGCTGTTACTTTTTACGAATGCACGATACCTTTCGGCGCATGCACGACTACTTTCTGCCGCACCGATGCAGCCTCCTTTATTCACGTGCGATACCACTAATTGCCTGCCATTGCCCGCATACGACCAATGTAACTTTCGGCGCCAATCAGGCGTACCCACCGTGCCCCACGACGTTGACATGTTAGGGATATCACTGCAATTTTTTGTGCCTATATAAGTCGCCTTAACGAGTGAGGCCTCACAATCTTTCATAACTCAGCCACATTCAGTACTCTCTTCCCCACTTGCTCCATTACAAATCCTACCAGCTTTCGTCAATGGCTAGACGCCTAGGCGTTGAGGATCCGAACTGCATAGCGATCCTTGTGTATACCTACTACCACCTTGGTGCCAGCGTCCTCTCTGCCTATGTAGTGACCGATGCCAACTAATGGCTTCGAGGAATCCTGATATTCGAGCAAGGCGCTTTTTTAGGTGCCCTAACTATGACCGTGAGATATTCTATTATCTGCATATGCTTATTCATTCTGTATGGGCAATTGTTTTATTCTTCGTAATACTACTCTATTCGTCAGACCCGCACTACAGTTTGCGCATACATTGAGTGGATCGATACAGAAAATCCCATTCTCGACCTAACCACTTGTTTACAAGGACGCTGGTATTTCACATCCGAAAGTACTGAGCAATACTTGCAGAGAAAAGCGGCTTACGAACGACAATGTCGTGAACAACAGTGCGACTGGCGGGTGCTAACTACAGCACTCCCTCCATGGGAAGCCCGTCCAAGATGCAGGTGCGGTGATCGTTGTCAGGTTCTTCGTTCCATAAAGCCTACGACATTGGGTCGAAGGTTCTTTATTTGTCCAAATATTCTTGACGATGATTTCATGGTAAGAATATTTTGATTATCATGAATCCTTGTTTTCTGACAACATTTACTAACTTTGTTCGCTTCACATCTATTCTTTCCCCCAGGAACCACCAAGGAGATGTCAATACAGAGAATGTATAGACACCAGAAGGGTTCTAACTCCACCTAGCCGTGTTGTGCAGCTTGAACTACCAGAGAAATACAGGGTTACTAAAGCGCGGTTTGAGAGAGTAGAGGGATCCTCACGTAGGGGTTAGCTATTATCGGACAACTTGGCATATTGAAATTTCTACTGTCATGCTTCCTTGTCCCATTACTACATCGTCGTTGTGTTCAACTCTTGCACTACCTCTCTTCTAGTTCGAATCTAATATCATCTACGTAACCGCAGTGGAAATAGATGTATCATGTTAAAATTTTACTACTATTTCTTTATGTTACATAATTCTCCTTGTTTAAGTCCATATAATGTTTCTACGACCGAGACTGCGATAGGCCTATATCAATTTCGCACACTAATACGTCGAATAAGTTACAAAATAATATCTTACTTAACATATGAAATTGCGAAACCACCAACTTCAATACATTTTTATAACATTATTAACAATTTTTACCAACAAATATTTCTTTAATTATTATTAACATAACAGACAAAAATCATTTGTCTATAGAGATAAATCATTTAGTCGGGCCCAGATGCAAAAAGTACGATCCCCAAGCTCTTTATGGGCTGCCAAAATTACATTTAGCCCCAAAGGGCGGCAAGGGGCTAAATGTAATTTTGGCCGACAACGGCAGACGGCGTGGTCGAGCCGCCGTCTGCCACGTCAGCTTGCCGCCCACCACTGAGGCGGCAGGGTCTATTTTTGTAATTTTTAACGCCGATAGATTATTTCTGTAAATATTAAAAAAATTAAAAAATGAAAAAACAGAACAGTGTGCAGAGGAGTGCTACCCATGCGCTCTGCTCTCTCGCTCGGGATGTTGACGCATGTCTGGTCGGATGAACCAAAATTCGGCAAAAACCTACAAATTTTTAGCTGAATGTTGTATAGATAGTCCCTTTTTTTAGTATGAACAAAATCTGGAACTTGGAGAATCGTAAACAAACAGGAGCCCTGCCAAAGGCACCCAGAAAGAAATACTATTACAAGCGAAGAATCATAAGAACTTAGGGTGTGTTTGGATAATAGGAAATGGGGGGTGGGATTGGGATTGGGAAATAAATGAAGGGTTAGAATTAAGTGAAAGAGGGAGAATGAATGGTTAGGATTTAAAGATGGATGGGAAGGGAGAATGAATGGTTAGGATTTAAAGATGAGTGGGAAATCATTTCCCTTTGCCATTTGCCAAACACTGCCTTAGGGTGTTTATAAGGAAACAACTCAGGAGATGTTCACTTTGTTGTCAAAACTAACCTTACCAAATTTCTAAACATTGCCGACACTTGTCTCCATTACCAAACTTTGTTAATTCTAGAATCTTCGTCTCACAAGACAATGGTAACAATCTAAACATAACTTATACTTCTCAACCTGACCACCTGACCAAATATTGGCTATATGCCAAAGTTTTACACTACAAAATGAACCGGCTCTCAAATAACAAACATGCAACACCTCATTTAAGTGCCCCTTAAATCATTAAATAATCTTCATTCTTCTTTTTCTTCATGCTTCCCTCGATGAAGATGTTGGGTTATCCACTAAGTTGGTGCGCAAAGGCATACACATTATAAGGCCTGTAAGGTGGCCCTAGGAATAATTGGAACAAGACTTTCGGTGTAAGGAAGTATGTCATACCAGCATAAGTCTTCCCATGCATGCCCCAAGTTGTCTTCATTGGGCCCAAGGTACCTTATATCATCAATATCCAATTTATCTTCTATGCTGTACGATTTCAGATTAGTACAGAAGACAAGACTACCTCTCCTCAATAAAATCCGACCGCTGCCAAGCGAGGCTATTGGATAGCAATTCATAAAGTTTATTATATGCCAACAATTCCAATCTGGATCCATGACATCTCCTGACATGTAGATACATACTTGTTGCAGAGTATTGCAAAAGAAAGTAGCACATAGTTGACCGCCAAGCTCAGTAATTGTAACTTCATCATCTTCAACTTGAGGGTACGTGTCAGTAAGCAACGGAGTGACACCAAATGTTTCGTCTTGAAGGCTGAAACGGAGCAGAGCCTGTGGGGGATTTTGCTGATTCTTCTTATCAATGTAATAGAATAGACACCCCTTGCAGTGTGTAACAATCTTTGAATACAGCACAGGGTAGGGTGGATCCACCAAAGTTTCTCTCCAACAGCTTTCTTCTCCATTAATAGTGAAGACCTCGAAACCCATTGCAGCGATCCCCATGGGATTATATTCACGGGAACGATAAAAAGATCGTGCAACCTTATATTTGCCAGTCGAAGCATCAAAGCCCAAGTTGTCACGTTGCCTCATGTTGCGATTGCTCTCTGGCAGTGCAAGGACATCCCTTGTGGCCGGATTGAAGACGTAGGCCTTGGTCTTAGTGGGGAGCAGCACCAAGCCATCGCAATGTGCCATTGGGAGCACCGGTTCAAACTCACCGGCAGGGAAGTGCCTCCTATAAAGGAGTGTTGCAGCAGCCCTCGTGTCTTCTTGTAATGACCACTGATAGAAGCGGATGTCGGTGGAGAAAGCAGCAAAGATAGAGTCACCTGGTTTCAGAGGAATATGGGGCGTGATGAGAAAGGAAGACGGGTTCCAGTATCTTTTCAGCTTGGAGCACTGGAGATGCTCACGGATAAAACAAGATTCGGAGATAATGGAAAGCCAGGCCTTGCAGACGGACTTGAACCTTGCCAGGGATTTTACAGGGAGCCAGATCAAGACTTCCCTCACAATCTCATCGGGTAACTCTACAGTTTGCTGGTGCCCCCTTCGCCTCTGCCTCTTCCTGTGGTATGTCTTCAATTCAAAGTCCATTTGCTGTTGTCCCCTCTGCCTCTTCTTGTATGTCTTGAATTCATAGTCCATGGCGCCAAGTACATGCAGAATTAGCAATGAGTTAACTAGCGGTGTTAGAAAATAATAATAATAATCTGTATACAATACACTGCATCGGCTATACTTATATATGTATATATGCGTGCCATAGGGATTATTGGTAAATGAACTCGAACATGGTCTCCGTGTTATTTTTGGAATCGACATCCTTTCCGGACAAGGTGTTCGTCTTACAACGGGACTGCCAGGCAAGATCCAATTTTAATTTTTTTTTTAGGAAAAGAAAAAAAGACAGAAAGAAAGACATGAGACCAAGACGGCTCAGATCCGGTTCTCTAATAACAATGGAAAAATAAAGGAGAACTGGTAGATATGATATGCGTATTGAGGCTCAGTGCCTTCGGGCTACGGCTAGGCGCGGGAGAGTATTCAAGAATAACACATGATGTCGCCGATGTGTGAGAGTATAAGAATTTACATCACTATATGCTCGGAGCAACTTACATCAATCTTGGTGCACATTGTTATCCTGCAAGACCCCCCCGCAAGACCCGGCCGGGGCCCCGCAAGGAATCAATTGGAGGTGGTCAGCCTTCTTCCGCTCCGTTGGGCACTTCGGTTGGGGCATGGCGGCGAACTGGCAATACCCGGCGAGATGCGATGCTTCCCTACCTTCTTTGAGATGCGATGAACGAACCGGGGGTGCCCGGCGTGCCTGGAATGAAAGGAGCAGCCGGAGGAGACCGCCGTGCAGACCTGCTGGGCCTAGTCGCTGCGTGTATCGCGAGCGATGACAACGGAGCGGATCGCGTCCGCCGGCCGGCCGGCGTGCGTGTCTGCGCGGTGGATTTGGGGATTGGGAGGAAGCTGGTGGTTAGCCCTAGGGTTACCTTACAAGGGCATAGGGTTATATGCTTCCACTTTATTGGGCCTTCGGTGGGTTTCTTCTGTTATAGGAGTACTATCTCAAAATAAATCTATTTTGGTTTCCTTATCTTTTGAATCGTCTCTCTCTATAAAGGTGACGGAGCATATGTCTAAAAAATTTGGTAGCTCAAACTTAGTGTGATTAGGGGTGAAAATGGAGCGGGTATTTCCCGACCGCCCGCCCGACCCGAGGCTCGCGGGAGGAATATGGGAGAAAAAATGGGATACCGAGTTCGAATCCGAATTCGTTAGAAAAATATGGGTTACGAAACGGGAAGACATGTATCCGTCCGTATGTCCCGTATTATAAAATATGTATGTAAATTTATTATAAATCTACCTAGAAACATGATAAAAGATCGGTTAATCATTATTTTAATGTTCACATGTAATATTGTATAATTTTTTTTCTTGATGTATGTATTTTAATACTTTAATGACCTTATGATATTTAATATCTATGAATTAGAGATACAAATAGATATCCGTTCCCAAATACGATTCGAAGGAAATAATATGGGATAGGATACGGGATGAGTGATATATTATCCGGTATTATCCGTATCCGGTTCCGAATTTAAAAGAAAATATGGGTTAGGATATGGGAATGCCATAATCTGACCGTACCCGCCCGTTTTCACCCCTAAGTATGATAGTCAGTATTCTTAAGTACACCACCCATTGTATCATACACGGGAGTAACATGTGTATTACTAGCAAAAATGTCCATGCGTCGTAACGGGTGAAAAAAATCTAACTACTTTTCAAGTATAACCATGTCAATGATAATGTTTGTATCGATCGTTATAGCTAAGACATCATAAAAAAATTAGAACATCTTAAATGTAATAAACCCAACTTTAGCGATTGCAACCTTACCAATACTTGCTTTACCCAAAGAATTGTATTATTCATGTGGCGACATGCATATAGTCTAAAGGCAAAATTTGCTACAGGGCACTCAAAGATTGTGGCATTTGCTTAAAGACACCCGAAGAACGTGAATCTTTTCGTGGACACTGTAAAAAGTGGTAATTAGCGGCTGGATACTCCTATTATTTTATTATTAATGGAGAGAGACAACTTTGCCCTTGGGTCAATAGTGTTTAACCCACTGGGATGGGTCGGCGTGTTGGGTGTCGACCACCGCGACAGCCGCGGTGGAAGGCAGAGCGGGAGGGATGGCTGCTGCGGCGGCGACACTGACCCATGGAGTGGACGATGAAGTTGGCGAGGAGGAGCATGGGGGAGACCATGAGAGCCAGGGTGCTGGCGAAGATGTCCTGGAAGAGCCAGACGAAGGAGGCGTGCATCTCGCCATGGACTCGCGCCAGGACGCCCTGTTGGTTGTCGCCCAGCATTGCCTCCCGCATCTGCTGCAGCGCGAAGCTCTGCAGCTCCTGCACGATGAGCACCATCGACAAGAAGGTGCGCCCCATCGAGTCGCCGGCGGAGTCCAGTAGCCGCTCGTCCCACCGCGTCTGCCACACCACCAGCTGCTGCTGCTTCTTCCGCTTCAGCATCTGGAGCGATAAAGGCATCCCAGCTCTGCCCCGCGCTGCTCTCCACGCTCGCCAGCCACTCGCAACCCGTGCGCTGCACACCCACCGCCACCGCAAGCTCCTCGATCGGCCTCAAGAACTCCGTTTCCCCGCCCCCACGTCATCCAAACTGGCGCTCAAGGCGCACCTCGCTGGCTGCCACAACCCGCGGCGCCGCGCCATGACACCAACGCCCCAATTAACTGGGGCGTGGGATCTCGCGAGCCTCACACCGCCGAGGGCGGGACGCGAGGACGTTGAGTAGCGCGCGCACAGGGATGGCGCGTGAGGGGATCAGGTCTGGTTTGACCAGCATTTACAAGCAAAACGACGTAGAGGCATTTTGGTACTTTCACCACTCTTTCTCTCTTAGTTTCGGCTGGAAATGATAAAATAATGAGAGGAGTGTACAACAGCTAATTATCACTGTTGGAGGTATACCACGAAGGGCCTTCGGCCGGGCCTACCGAAACCGAAAACTTGGGCAACAGGCTCAGACCGGAGGCGAGCGGAGAAGGTCGAAGAGGGATACCCCAAGGATGAAAGCCACGGCTCGGGAGTACACGTGTTTCGCCGGACAAGGACCCCGTCAGGAGGTCACCTAGGCGAATATGGTAAGGCGAAAGCCTTGGCCCGAGGGCATGGGTTTCGCCAAGGCACCAAACCCCACCTGAGGAAGCCCAGCGGGCCGTTGCGTCCCCGAAAAGGATTCGCCAGATCAATGGGCCAAGCCATTTAGCCCAATTAGGGTCCATACATGTAAAGGACACTATGTATCCCTAATAATGTCCTTATCGTAAGGGTAACCATGTAAATTCCCCTGTAAAGCCTAAACCCTAGGGGAGAGGACCTGTAATAGGGTTATAAATAGCCCCTCTAGGCCATGTAATGGGGGGATCCCAAAAAATTTTTCACTAAGTAATATAACTATTCTTTACTTCCAACCACTGTTGAGAGAACCACGTCCTTCGATGTGACGCAGTTGTCCATTCGATAACAGCTGGCGCCGTCCGTGGGGACCTCTAAGCGAAACCATTGAGAGCGAATGCCACCGAAGAAGGTCGCGAAGGAGAAGGTTGCTAAGCGAAAGGAGAGTGAAGCAGGAGGGGAGATGGCTGCCGAAGAGGGAGTAGAGCCTTCGACGCCCCTCGCCGAAGCTGGTGTGGCACCTTCGGCTCTCGCCGCTTCGACGGGGCAAATGTCGGACACGGTTGACGCGGCAAGGGTAGTTGTGGCGGCGAGGGCACTCCAGACCAGGGCGGAGATCCTTTCGACAAGCCAAGTAATCACGTGGGAGGATAAGGATAAAGGGGGCTAAAAGTGGAACCAACGAAGAAGTCCAGCGGTGTGGTGACTCTCACACAAGGAAAAAAAAGAGGATTGGAGGGACAGATGTACTTCAAAACATTTTGTAAGAAGAAATTGTGAGCGTGTTAGGAATTGAACACAGGACCTTGGTGTTAAAACCACACATCTCTTACCACTGTACTATCAAGTATATCTCGACTCTCACACGAGACATAGAAAAGCGGGAGGTGTGTGATCGATGGCGGCGCTGATGGCTCACTCCTCACAGCTCTACAAGAGAGAGAGAGAGAGAGCTCATAGAGATGTTTCGGTTTCCCTGGGCCTTTTTGCAAGCATGGTTTTTGCCGGAATATAGCCACACATGCACATAACAATTACTAAAATAAGCTTCTAAAGCTTTTCTAGGTGTTCCAAGTTCATATTTAGACCATTTTGGTTTTCACCAAGATAAGCCAAAGGGTAAGTTTCTGAACCCTCTTGGGTATTGTCTCATTGGAGTAGAGCCAAAACATTGTAGATACTCCTGGTAAATTCACTTTATATAAAAATAAACATAAATAAATAAGGGTAAATTGGAACCATGCCATTGTACTTTTGCAAAGTTTGAGATATGCCAATGCAACTATAAGAGTGGCCTTATAACATAGGATTACATATTGTCAACTGCGACTTATTTGCATAGGAAACACCACTGTTTTAGAGTGGCACATATGAAACACCCCTACAAACTGTTATATCTCAATGTCTACTCTGGTAAAAGCGCTAACAGAATGATAAAATCTTCAGAATTATTAACTAGAACTGCACTGGGAGACAGCCATTCTGAGAAGTCCTAAAGTAAGTCAGAATGCAGTGTGAAAATAAGCAACATATCTTTTACTTTTCCCTCTTGTAATTCATTATCTCATAGTAGCAGACCCTTGAACACACAAACGCCATGCTAGTTTTCAGACAAAACGGTTGATATTCAGTTTTAGGTCATATGGCAAGAGACAAATGATGAACGTCTTTACTTTCAAGTAATATTGAATCCCGCATATTGCAAAACTCACAAAACATAGAAGGTCATGAGATGAGGGTTAGAGATTATAGCACTTTACACTGATTTCAATATGGTAAAATAATTGCCTATCAAGGAACTCCTGAAAAAAAGAAACATTTTATCCTACAATCTTATAGCTTGGGTTGGCGAGGTTGTCTAAGCCTGAGACAACTTGAATCGATTCAATGACATCCCCAACCTTGAGGTCTGCCAAGTAGTCCTCGTTCTCGGTGACATATCCAAATACGGCATACCGCCCATCCAGTATATTGGCATTGCTTGGTGTTAGCTCACTCTCTTTTAACAACCAAAAGATTTGGCTAGAAGCAGAATTGTCATCAAATTCCTGCCATGATATTCAAACGTTTAATGTTAGAAAATGCTGAAGCATGCCCATATCTGCAGATGCTTGATACATTACACTGAAGCAGTATCATGATACTTACATCTCTAGCCATTGCCATTGTTCCAAATGCATTAAAAGGAAGCTTTGTTTGAGCCTTGTAGCGGCCAAGTTCCTGAATGCATGATCATGTGTACTGTAAGAACAAGCTCATCAACATACAGTTGCCAAAATTTCCGGTAGATTCTGAAACTGAAAAAAGAAAGAACTGTGCCTACTTACTTCAAGTGTTTCACCATATACAGGCGCTTTGTCACCATCGACCATTAACTCAAGAGGTATTGTACGAACTTTACCAGTACTGGGATCAATAAATCCCTCAGCTGGTCCCTCAGGATCGCCAGTTTGAACAACAAAACCATCAGCTGCAAAAGAACCGATAATAGTTAACAAAAGCTCACTAGATAATTAAGGTTCTGACTTCTCAATCCTAAATAACAGAGAACAACTAGAGAGGCTTCTTCATTGAAAAAATGGGTAATGCCATGGCTTAGTCAGTAAAACGAGCTTGCTAGTTACTATCAAGATTATCTACTACATGTTTATCAAAATGCAATTAAAAATGGTGATTGGTATAAACAATGTTGGACTATATCTATGGAATGTATCACAGAAGCAACCTTACCTCTTTGAATTTCCATGCCATCATAGAACTTCCGTTCCACCAGATCTAAGAAGTTCCCAGCAGTCACAGGAGCATTGTATCCATCCAGAACAATCCGAAATACGCAATCCTCTAAATTAGGATTGTCCTTAATCTTAACCTTCATGTCCACGGTAGCCCTTCCTTTGAGAAGAGGCATGCTGCTGTATTCTTCTGGCACTTCATAGGGGAATCCATCGACCATATCTTCTTCTACACTGCAGAAATGCAATGTCCCAGGAAGATCTCAGCTGCAGAGTCAATGACAAGGTATAAATGAGAAGAGCCCTTCCATAAGAGTGCTCACAGTTATTTTATTTAGTGGCTAACATAATTCAGTTCTCTAGCACTAAAGAGTTATCACTTTGCAAGAACTTTTGTTCAGCAAACCAGAACATTTTGTCAATGTCCTCAGTGGTGAAAGTACGAGAAGAGCCTTTCCGTAAGAGTGATCACAATTATTTTATTTAGTGGCTGACATAATTCAGTTCTGTAGCACTAAAGAGTTATCACTTCACAAGAACTTTTGTTCAGCAAACCATAACAATTTGTCAATGTCCCCAGTAGTGAAGGTGTGGGGCTGAAATGCACCACCCGGGTTTGATCCCCAGAATGGCAGGTGGGAAAACATCTAGTTTGCCTTTTCTCTTAAAACAAGTCAGGCAATAGGATTGTTGTATCTATCAGCCTCCTGTGGTCAGAACATCTACTACTCCATACATTAGCAATGGAAAGACAAACAATTACATATAATTGTTTTGAGGAGTTATGTTCACTCACGTTCCAACATACTGGAGAAGTTCTTTCTGCTTTGGAGCTACTGCATCCCTGTTTCTGTCCTCAACAATCCGTTGAAGCTCATCAAGTCCAACAGCCAATTTATCCAATAATTCCTCCCCATTTGCTCTTTTGGATTCAGCAAGACCGCCAAGAATTAGGTTCCTCCCATTACTCAGTGCCCTCGATGCTTGTCTTACATTCTAAAATTTGAAGAAAAAAATTATAAATTTCCAGTAGCCCAAGTGAGTAAGTAAATTCAAGAGAGTTGAAATAAAAGGTGGCTGCTTTCAGTTATTGAATGCATTGTCCTCTAGATAAAACCTAGACCATTTCTAATCGGCAGCTCAAAAGGATGACTTACTCTTTCAACTGAATCCAAGGCTCTAACACCAGCAATCTTAAGACTGTCAGTGATATCCTCTAGTGGTTTTTGAACTTCACGAACAGCTTTATTATCTATTGGCAAAGCATATCTCAATAAAGCACCAGGATCTTTAATGGGAGGTCCAGAGATCAAAACTGAAACATCTGGGATCACTGGTTCAAGAGGAGAAGCATGTGCTGGCCATCCTAACGTTGGTGCGCCAGTGATTAATCCAGCCGATAATGCTACAGAAATTGCATATTCTTTCCAGCTAAATGAATTCTTCTGCAAGAATTGAATTAAAAAATTAGAATAAATTAACAAAGTAAAAGAGAACCAAACCATCTGACTAGAGGTATCACAGTATGAAACTTTATCCGTACCGATAATGAAGGAAATTGTTGTTTTACAAGGGCAGAACAGAAAATAAATGCAACTATTTGAACGAAAGGAACATAGCCAACTTTTACACATGATTATGAATGCAAAGGAGAAAATATTTTCATTCGTATAATAGCACAAGCTGCATACCATCAACAAATTTTTTACCTTCCTAAGCTTAGGTCGCACATGAAACATGCAGGACAACAGCAGTCAGTAAGAATAGCTTATGGAAACAGAATTACCAATCTTACTGGATGCCTGGATGGTTCCGTATTTGCTACAACCAAGAACAAGCATAGGAAAGTTTGCCAACTAAATCTAATCTTTCGCAAAAGAAAAAGGTTTAGCTGCAATTATGAAAGAAAAATATCGTAGTTACTTAATAAAATTCAATGTTTCGCACTTCAATCCTTTGGAGTTTGGACACACAACAATTCACTTTCCAAATTTGCAGCTATAAAACTCTGCATCATCTAACAGTTTTACTACGTATCATGTCTATAATACTGTTTTCACCCAATTTTCAACTCGCAACACTAAGCAAACGCACATGCAGAACTTTACATAGAGGAAAATCTCAAACCTTGTCAGTCAGTCTCACGCTGACTGGGAGCTGAAAACTTATGGCAACGCAGAAGCGTCCCCACATGAACAAACTAAAATCTTGCAAGAACCACAATACATTGCTCTCAGGCCATTAGGTTATTAATCATGTGTGCATTAACATCTGAATACTTGTACCCCTGGCAGTAAAGTAAACAAGCCCCCTCCACCACAGAGATACCGCAATACTCGTATATAGTACAACGCAGGTAGGATAATTCTAATTCGATTCCCACCAACCACACCGATTGACCCACATTGCCGCGCACCAGAAATCCACCCCAAACCCATCCATCCGGCTCCCACCAATGCAGGCACCCAAGCCATCCCGCTCGCGCAACTAAAAGGAAAGAATCGCAAGAAGCTTCGCTCACCTCGGAGGAGGGGAGCGCGCAGCGGGCGACGGGGCGACGGCCGCGGCGACCCGCGGAAGGACGCAGCGAGGGGCGGCGGCAGCAGCAGCAGGTGGGGAACGCGAGCGCCGCCGCCATTGATGGGAGGAGGAGGATGAAGTGAGATTGGCGAGAAGGGAAGGGGGAGGTGGAGGTGGAGGTGGGAAATGGGGGAAGAAGTGGGGTTTTGGTGAGGTGGATAAGGCGCGGCAAATGGCGATTGGTTGAGGAGACGCTGATGTGGATAAGGGGGACCCCGATAAGCAAAACCGACCCTGGCTTTTTTTTTTTTCCTTTCTTTCTTTCTTTTCCGCAGAAGAGACTGGTGTTCATTGTTATTCAGTTCCATCGGTATATGCTTTCTCCTAGCCGCCTATCAGAAAGTAGACAGAAGCTGATTGGAAACATTTGGAAAAGAAAGTGATATTTTGTTAAAATGCATGGATTTTGAGGTCAGAGATGTTCTATTTTACAAACTGGAAATACATCAAAATCCATGTTTAGTTTGAGAATAATCATATATAAAAGTATTGCAAAAAGATAGTAGTCCATCAAACTATGGGCTATTTTGGTTTGATGCCTAAACTTGCCCTGCAAAATAGTTGGTAAATTTAAATAGTACTTTCTGAATATTTAGATTAATGCCAATATTTACCTAAATTAATATAGCTTTTATACCCCAACTCTATTAAAACATTGGTAGTGCCAAAACTAATTTCGTTGGGTACCAAGCCAAATGAGCCCTATGATGCCAATTGTTTAAATCTGTGAAGCTATAAGATAGCAGTAGTAATAAACACATACAATTTGAAACATATTCTTATTATTTATAATTCCGCACAAAGTTTTCTTCACATCAGTTAGCATAAGAACCATTTTAGAGTGTTCGTTTTTCACCCATGCAGAGAATATCTTATATACTACTCCCTCCGTTTCCCAATGTAAGTCATTCTAGCATTTCCCACATTCATATTGATGCTATCTAGATTCATTAATATCAATACGAATGTGGAAAATGTTAGAATGACTTATATTGTGAAACAGATGAAGTACTTTTTAAGCAATGATGAGGTCCTCATGCGTTTTGTCAAATGTACATTGCCTCCTTAGAGATTTGTGCCTAAAATTCCACATTAATTATACATGTTTATAATAAGTTAGAAACAAGTATACGATAGTATACATAATCTGGTACAAATTTCAGCTGCCTATATTATCACATTCAAGAAATGCTTGTCTTCCTCAGCATTGTTATTTTTAACATAAATGCTTTTTCAGTAGCAGGAAATGCTTGCAAGTTTCTCAGTAGATTGGTCAAAATTTTGTGTTATAAGATTGTCACAGAATAAATAATATCTTACGGCAATACCGCAATACTGAACATCATTCATTAAGATTGGTCAATTTTTTGTGTTATAAGATTGTCAGTCAGAATAAATAATATCTTGTGGCAATGCCGAACATCATTCAAAGTTGCTATCAAATTACAAACTTATTTATTTCTAATGTCCTGAAGTTACAATAATACGTGTGATACAACAGATGCACATCACAATAAAGATACAAATTCAATTCATTAGATATGGGCTGCATTGAAGGACAAAAACACCAGGTAAATTAGAATAAATCAATAATAAAGCTCACTGATAACTATAAGATGGCACCCAAGTAAAACATAATATATGGACTTCTCATGTCAAACCTAGATAAGGTTAATAGGTCATATGATGTTGCCATCTATGTGATGCAAAACATTGCCTATAGTTACCTGGATTAGACTAGCTAGCAGATAAAGAACATGTACATATGAAGTTTTAGGTAGCTAGATTAAGAAGTTGGACACCAAGAAAGGGCTTGGTGCTGATGGCTTTAAGAAGAAAGGAACAAATATTCCAAGTGAGCATGCTCGAGGAGAATCAAACCTGGGCGGATGGGGTGCATGCCAGCAATCCTGCCACTGCGCTATGAGCGCATCTCAAGTAGCTAGACTAAGAGAACCCGTCATATCCTATCTGACTATAAAGTTATAACCCACTAACTCATAAAGCTTAACATGCAAAGATACCACATCATCATCCACTAACAAGTTAACACATCATCATCCACTAACAATCAATACATTTAATATAATGCAAACATGCTATATTATCTATAATTTAAAATTTATTACATTTTAGAGCTTTTAAAATGAAAGCATGTTAAATCATCATCCCACATAATTCACATAATATTTCAATATATATATTCATTATTTTTTTATAATATCTTATGTACCTATGTAGTTCATTCTCACTTGGTTAATGTTATTTCTCTATTCTCTAATTAAGCCATATCAGATCAATTGTTTTTAGTGTTTATGTAAGTTTATGTTGTTTAGCTATCTTATACATTATTTTTTACCTATTGTTATCCTACTGAACTCCCGCAGCAACGTGCGAGGTTTCACCTAGTTTCAATTGATTGTGCCAACATTTTAATAGCTTAGACAGTTTGTTATCCATAACACCAAACTAAAATAAAGAAAAAACAGAGCCATGTTCACATGACATCAATAATTTAGATAGTTGGTCGATTTGACTTTTTCATTTACTGTGGCACCATAGTTCTCTTCTTTTAACATGTAGGAGTACCTCACTGCACCAAGGAAAAAAAATATTGAGCTCATGTATGTATTGGAGAAATAAAGAGATAATCAATAATGATACAATAACGGACCGTAAAAACACAATGAAACGAGATGATGTAAAAAGAAGGAATAAATGGCATTTTGTACGTTACTATATTTTTTGAAATGATACAATCTCGTACACAATGAAACGGACAGTAAAAAAATACAATAACGAGATTGATACAACAATGATACCATATTGTTTCTTTTTTTCCAGTAAAAAGAAACAATATGGTATCTCATGAGCGTGAATTTCAAAATGAAGAAGGAATAAATGGCTATCATACTTGCTGTTCTTTATAAGAAAACAATATTTATTTTTATATTACCACAAAATTATGTACCATCACTACTCGGGGAAAAGGATTTACATGAAAATAATGTCATATGCCCCAAATCCAACCGTCCCAAAAAAAGCCAACCTCATACTAGGATGTGACACATCCAGATTCGTTGTACTAGGATGTGTCATATCCTAGTACGAGGTTGGCTTTTTTTTGGATGGAGGGAGTAATTTGTGGAAGGACATTTCTCAATAATCCCAAATGCAGTAGCTTTCTCGAAGGAAATTGACACTGTAACACCTTTCGGCTGTGTTTGGATAATAGGTTTGGGATATGATTTCCCACCCCTCAAAGGACAAGCTTCAATCTTAGCCATCCATTCTTCTCACCCCCATTTCATCCTATCCGTCTATTCATTTTCATTTTCCAATCTCACCTCTCCTAACCCATTTTACAAACACACCCTTCTAGTTTCTAAAATATTTGCTAAATTTTAACAAAGTGGTGCTAATTTACAAGCCGCCTCCTCGCAGCTGCATGCCTCTCCTCCCCTCCAGGACCCCGACCCCTCGCCGCCTCCTCCCGTTCGCTACCGCCGCGGCGCCACCTCGCCCCTTCCTCGTCTCCACCCCTCCGCCCATGCCCCGCGCCCGCCTAGGCCGCCGCGCTGCTGTAGGATCGAGATGTCGACTAGAGGGGGGTGAATAGGCGATTTAAAATTAAATGACACCTAATCAAAACTAACCTAAGTTGCTAGGCTTAGTGAGGGTCAACTCTAACTAAGCAACTAAGTTATGTTTTGCAAACCTAGGGTGATAGTGGCTCAATTATATCTCTAGGGAAGTAAATCACACTCCTATGTCAATGTTTAGCAATCCTAGGGTGATATGATCTCAAGTATGTCTCTAGAAATATAAATTGCACAAATATAAATGCGACAATCAAATGAGACAAGAAGACAAGAGATTTTTCACCGAGGTTCGGAAACTCACCGGTTTCCTACTCCCCGTTGAGGCGAGCCCAACTTCACCGCTCAACCACGAAGCCGCCGCACGCCCCCTTCGTCAAGGGGTGGGCAAGGCGGGAGCCGGCCCACGGAGAGGACTACCCAAGCCTCGATCACTAGGGTAGTTCTTCCTTCACTCCGAAGGTAGTGAACTCCAAACCACTCACAAACCGGCACCGGGCCTCCTCCACAATCTTCTCGGAGAGGTCACCGGGCAACTCCTCCACAAGCCGTCTAGGAGGCGGCAATCTCCAAGAGTAACAAGCAATGACTTGGCGTGGAGATGATCAAGTGCCACACTAGCTCTACAATGGAAGCAAATGCACTTGACTCTTGGCTAAATCAATCTCAACCACTACAATGGATGAACACTAAGCTCAATGTTGTGTGAGAGAGGTGCAATTGAATTGGGTGCCAAGAGAGCCCCCTTGCTGCTGGTGGGGGAGTATTTATACTCCCACCCACCAAAACTAGCCGTTGGGGGCGAAATCCCCCAACTCTGTGCTCTGCCGGTCTGACCGGAGGTATGTGGCCGGTCACACCGTGCTACTCTGCAACGGCTAGAAAACTAGCCGTTGTAGTGTTGTCAGAGGGCCCTATCGGCCTGGCCTGTCAGACCGGCGTTGAGTGGGCGGTCAGACCGACCTCGGCTCGGTCTGACCGCCATCGGCTCGGTCTGACCGAATACGGCTCCATCGGCTCTATATCGGCCATCCCGAGCAGCACCATCCCGGCCTCCAGGGGGCCGGTCTGACTGCGCATGTGCCGCCGGTCAGACCGCCCGCTTAGGGCCGGTCAGACCGGCCAAGGCACGCCGGTCAGACTGCCACTATGTGGCCGGTCTGACCGCCCCTGGTCAGGCCGAACCCAGTGAAGTGTGTGTGTGTGTGAAATGTGAGCACAAGTCTAAATGCATAATGACCTAATGTGGCAATTAAAATCATCTCTTTGCTAGGTCATTACCCTCTTAATAGTACGGCGAAACTAAAAATAAACTAGAAAATTTGATCGCCCTACACCTCGATCAATTCTAAATTAAAATGCTAGTTTTACCGTCTTCTTTCCCTTTGCTTTGCGCCGTCAATTTTTATCCATCGATAATCATCCATGCGCACATATGACGTGGACCTAACTTAAAATGTATAGCTCAAAGACAACGGTTAGTCCACAATTAGCGCTTGTCATTAATTACCAAAATTAACACC